GGCCGGAGGAGCGCGGCGAGCGAACGGAGGACGCGTTAAAGGATGGTCGCGAAATGTGCTGTGTTGGACAAATAAAGTGAAGACAGAAAAAGAAGAAGTTGTCCGCGTAAAGTTCAGCACTACATATGTATATGATGGTGAGCGAAATGGCGACGTCCAGGTTGGAGAAGAACACCCCGACGATGGGCAGCACGATGGCGTGATGCTCGACAATCCTGCGAATGACGGTGCGGGTCGACGGGCCCTCGTATTCCTGCGTAAATATGTGTACCAAGGTCTTGAACTTGTCACTGCCGGCGGCTCGCAATGAGATTCGCACCTTGGATAACAAAATCAACTACCGTGTTCTCAAACTTTACCAGGAGGCGATCCGGGATTGCTGGCCAGCTCAGCGTTTTCTGCATTAGGCGGCTCGCTGACGCCGACGTCCCGACCTCGCTGCCTGGGGCGAGCACATTGTGCTTCTTAAGGTGGGCTCTCCACTCCAACGCGTTCGTGTGGGAGAAAAACCACTTGCGGCAGTGCACGCACTGCTTGCCGCTGCCTCTTTCGATTGCTGTTCGCAGCGATCCCAGAAATGTCATTGCTGGCATCCACGACCTCATCCTCTACCACAAGAACGTGGTCCGTCTGCATCTGGTCCGACATCAATGATTGTAATTTCAATTGGAGGTCACGGACTGCGCCACAGAACTATTAGCGAGTGGTAAACAGGGTATTTACCGGTTAATATTTCACGCTACCTTTACTCTACCGGGAAATTCGTCCGCGCTACCTTTACCCTGTTACCCTTTACCTTACCCCTTGGCATGGGTGATACCTTTACCTTTACCCTTTTAGCAGGTAAAAGGGTAAATTACCTTACCGTGCCGAGGCCTATAGTGAGGGAAAAAAGTATTTGATCCCCTGCTGATTTTGTACGTTTGCCCACTGACAAAGAAATGATCAGTCTATAATTTTAATGGTAAGTTTATTCGAATAGTGAGAGACAGAATAACAACAACAAAATCCAGAAAAACGCATGTCAAAAATGTTATAAATTGATTTGGTGGGGTAGGGGGTGGGAGGGTGGGGGTGGTGGTGTAGGGGGTTGTGGGGTAGGGGGTGGGGGGGTGGGGGGGTGGGAGGGTGGGGGTGGTGGGGTAGGGGGTGGGGTAGGGGGTGGGAGGGGGTGGGGTAGGGGGTGGGGTAGGGGGTGGGAGGGGGTGGGGTAGGGGGTGGGGGTGGTGGGGTAGGGGGTGGGAGGGTGGGGGTGGTGGGGTAGGGGGTGGGAGGGTGGGGGTGGTGGTGTAGGGGGTTGTGGGGTAGGGGGTGGGGTAGGGGGTGGGGGGGTGGGAGGGTGGGGGTGGTGGGGTAGGGGGTGGGAGGGGGTGGGGTACAGCCGCGAACAATCTGGAGGTTTTCGCACCCACACGCGTCTAATAAACCCTCTGAGTTGGCAAGGGGCCTCTGCCGCAGGCTGCTCAGCCTCCGATCGCTCGCGACATGGTGAGTCCTCGCAGGCCGCCACATCGCTAACACACAAACACTCACACAAACACATACACACTCACACATACACACTCACACATACACACTCACACACAAACACAACAACAACCGCCGTTCACCACGAAGTGGCGGTGACGTCACCACGACGCTTGTGCCAGGCCATGTGCACCTTGCGCTGTTCGGTGTGGATCACGTCCACGTGTGTGTCAGTGTGTGTGTCAGTGTGTGTCGTGGGTGTTGACGGCTGGGCGAGTGAAGTTGGCGGTGAGGGGCCTCTCGAGTCGGGCCCGTGTTGGATGCGGGGGGGGGAGCGGTGGTGCAGCGGTTAGCGCGCCGCGCTACGACCCTGGCCACCCGAGTTCGATTCCCGCGCACGGCCACGAACACCCAGTGGCGATTATCTGAACCGGGCCTGGGCATCCCCTAGGTCGACTCAGCCTCAAATGAGTAGTACCTGGCGCGGTGCGTAAAAAAAACCCATCGCCGCTGGGGAGACGAAGGCGGCCGGGCGTGGTGATGGCCACCCACCCCCCCTTCTCGTGCGCCGTTCCGGCCTTCACAGATTGCTGCTCGCCAACAGCGACCTGCTCCAACAGTCTGTTGAGGCTTATACCGGGGGGATCTTTGATGATCTTTGTGTGGTGTGTGATGGTGTTCACTGTGTGTGTGATGGTGTTCACTGTGTGTGTGATGGTGTTCGCTGTGTGATGTGTGATGGTGTTGTGTGCTGTGATGGTGTTCGTTGTGTGATGTGGTGTGTGATGGTGTTCACTGTGTGTGTGATGGTGTTCACTGTGTGTGTGATGGTGTTCGCTGTGTGATGTGTGATGGCGTTCACTGTGTGTGTGATGGTGTTCACTGTGTGATGTGTGATGGTGTTCACTGTGTGTGTGATGGTGTTCACTGTGTGTGTGATGGTGTTCGCTGTGTGATGTGTGATGGTGTTGTGTGCTGTGATGGTGTTCGTTGTGTGATGTGGTGTGTGATGGTGTTCACTGTGTGTGTGATGGTGTTCACTGTGTGTGTGATGGTGTTCGCTGTGTGATGTGTGATGGCGTTCACTGTATGTGTGATGGTGTTCACTGTGTGATGTGTGATGGTGTTCACTGTGTGTGTGATGGTGTTCACTGTGTGTGTGATGGTGTTCGCTGTGTGATGTGTGATGGTGTTGTGTGCTGTGATGGTGTTCGTTGTGTGATGTGGTGTGCGATGGTGTTCACTGTGTGTGTGATGGTGTTCACTGTGTGTGTGATGGTGTTCGCTGTGTGATGTGTGATGGCGTTCACTGTGTGTGTGATGGTGTTCACTGTGTGATGTGTGATGGTGTTCACTGTGTGTGTGATGGTGTTCACTGTGTGTGTGATGGTGTTCGCTGTGTGATGTGTGATGGTGTTGTGTGATGTGATGGTGTTCGTTGTGTGATGTGGTGTGTGATGGTGTTCACTGTGTGTGTGATGGTGTTCACTGTGTGTGTGATGGTGTTCGTTGTGTGTGTGATGGTGTTCGCTGTGTGATGTGTGATGGTGTTCGTTGTGTGATGTGGTGTGTGATGGTGTTCACTGTGTGATGTGTGATGGCGTTCACTGTGTGTGTGATGGTGTTCACTGTGTGATGTGTGATGGTGTTCACTGTGTGTGTGATGGTGTTCACTGTGTGTGTGATGGTGTTCGCTGTGTGATGTGTGATGGTGTTGTGTGATGTGATGGTGTTCGTTGTGTGATGTGGTGTGTGATGGTGTTCACTGTGTGTGTGATGGTGTTCACTGTGTGTGTGATGGTGTTCACTGTGTGTGTGATGGTGTTCGCTGTGTGATGTGTGATGGTGTTCGTTGTGTGATGTGGGGTGTGATGGTGTTCACTGTGTGATGTGTGATGGCGTTCACTGTGTGTGTGATGGTGTTCACTGTGTGTGTGATGGTGTTCGCTGTGTGATGTGTGATGGTGTTGTGTGGTGTGATGGTGTTCGTTGTGTGATGTGGTGTGTGATGGTGTTCACTGTGTGATGTGTGATGGCGTTCACTGTGTGTGTGATGGTGTTCACTGTGTGTGTGATGGTGTTCGCTGTGTGATGTGTGATGGTGTTGTGTGGTGTGATGGTGTTCGTTGTGTGATGTGGTGTGTGATGGTGTTCACTGTGTGTGTGATGGCGTTCACTGTGTGTGTGATGGTGTTCACTGTGTGTGTGATGGTGTTCGCTGTGTGATGTGTGATGGTGTTGTGTGGTGTGATGGTGTTCGTTGTGTGATGTGGTGTGTGATGGTGTTCACTGTGTGTGTGATGGTGTTCACTGTGTGTGTGATGGTGTTCACTGTGTGTGTGATGGTGTTCGCTGTGTGATGTGTGATGGTGTTGTGTGGTGTGATGGTGTTCGTTGTGTGATGTGGTGTGTGATGGTGTTCACTGTGTGATGTGTGATGGCGTTCACTGTGTGTGTGATGGTGTTCACTGTGTGTGTGATGGTGTTCGCTGTGTGATGTGTGATGGTGTTGTGTGGTGTGATGGTGTTCGTTGTGTGATGTGGTGTGTGATGGTGTTCACTGTGTGATGTGTGATGGCGTTCACTGTGTGTGTGATGGTGTTCACTGTGTGTGTGATGGTGTTCACTGTGTGATGGTGTTGTGTGTTTGTGTGATGGTGTTCACTGTGTGTGTGATGGTGTTCACTGTGTGATGTGTGATGGTGTTCGTTGTGTGATGTGATGGTGATCGTTGTGTGATGTGGTGTGTGATGGTGTTCACTGTGTGTGTGATGGTGTTCGCTGTGTGTGTGATGGTGTTCACTGTGTGTGTGATGGTGTTCACTGTGTGATGGTGTTGTGTGTTTGTGTGATGGTGTTCACTGTGTGTGTGATGGTGTTCACTGTGTGATGTGTGATGGTGTTCGTTGTGTGATGTGATGGTGATCGTTGTGTGATGTGTGATACATCCTCCCACCAATATTCAAATATGCTCAAAATGTCCCCCCCAATATATTGCTATAAAAAATCTCCAAGCTATGTAACTAAAAACAATTTGATAAACCTTGGCCACAATATCTGGACTTGTCTTCATATAAATGAATGCATAGATTTATGTTTATATGATTGTGGTTATGGTTGTACTTTATTAATCTCTAATCTCTGCCATTACATACAATGAAACAAGAAATGGTAAAAAAGTAAAAACAGAGCAATGTAATACAATACACTATTAGACATTATTGTTAAAAATAAAAAAGTCTATCCCATGTGTTAGTGAATTTTTTTTATATTTTAGGCAGGAAATTAGTTTTCAAATGTAGATATTTTTCTGGGTTGGGACCCCCAGACCCCCTGTAAGATTTGGTCCCCCCCAATGTTGACTCCATGGCTACGGCCTTGGGCCAAAGTAACGTCAAGGGGCATTTTTTGTTGTTGGGAAAGCCGCAAATGCGCGTTCGTCCGAGACGGTGGTTACCTTAAGTAATGAAAGTAAATCCCGTCACGGCGTGGCCGGCACTTCGAGAGCCGCAGATTTGTTGCATCCTGGGCCTGGCGGGTTGTTACAGCGCGTGCGAATAGAGTTATAAACCAGGGGCCCTCCCCTAGGTCGACTCGGCCTTTAAACGAGTTCCCAGCACGAACTGTGCGAACGTCATTGGCGGAGAGACAAAGGCGGTCGGGCGTGGTGATGCTGGCCGCCCCATCACGGCTCGTAGGTGCTGTCCTGACGCTTCCCCTAAACCCCACCCCACAGATCCCAACCCTAGCCCGGCTGATACACACCAGGACGGTTCCATTACGATTCATATCGGGCCATTGTGCTAAATGTGTGGTGAGTAATTGTCAGGCGTAATACGCCGTCACCACTACTGGTTATATGTAGCGGGTCCGTCCTGTACCAAGTAGGACTGTTGGGTCAGGCACTCTGGGGGGCGGTTAGGAACCGGAGGTGGACACCCCAGGCCACCGGTGGGAGCTCTAAGGGATTGCGCAACAATCTAGGTCCCTCCAGAAGGTTCCAGAGAGTGGGCGTGGCCATGGGTGGAGTGACCCTGGGAGTCCCGTAAAAGCCGGACCCCCCAGACGGCTCTGGCAGTCGGCGTCAAGCCGAAGACCGAAGAGTTCGCCTGAAGATGGGACCCTGAAGATCCCCGGCCCCGAAGTCCTTATCATGCCCCGTCTGAGTGGGCCAGTGGTCGAGACCCGGCGACCTTGGCTGGGTCGGGTCAGCCTCCCCTAGGTCCCCTTAGCCGGAGGGCTAAGATTAGGTGGTCCCAGTGACTAGGGCACGTTAGCCCGGAGGCTGTACCTCCTTGGGTCATCGGGTGGAAGGGGCCGCTACCCCTTCGTGTTAGGGGCCTCGTGTGTGACCGTTATCTATATATGTAAAAGGGAAATTTGTGAATGTGTGTGTCTCTTCGAAATGTTTAACATACTTCCCGACATGCAACAAACTTGAAATTTGGCATGTGGGTAGCTTCCAGATTTTACACAATGCAAAAAGTATAAAAATAGACTTTTGTATTTGGGGGGGGGGGGGGGGCGCAATAATGGATATATTTTGCATGGCAAGTGAGCGGTGACGTCACATCTGTGATGTCACCCGCATGCGGCAGCGTCACGCAGTGTGCCTGCTGACGTCACGCATCCCCCGCCCCCCACCCTCCGCGTAGGCCGTGTGTTAATCCAAGACAGGAATCCAAGTCTTGGGCGAAGCCGGGTAGTCAAGCTAGTTGTTAAATAAAAACCTGTTGCCTGCTAAGAAGACTCCGTCTCCATACAACCCGCTAGAAATGCCACCGCGTGTCCCGGTCCCCTTGTCCCCCATCTCCCTGTCTCTTCCACTTGTCTCCCTCTCACGTGTCTGTGCCTGCCCATGGGTGGCGCTGGCCACGCACCCCCTCGTGTGCCGGTGCCGGCCTTCCTTCATGGGTGCCACTCGCCAACAGCAACTTGCCCCAACAGTCTGTTACAGGCTATACGGGGGATCTTTGTCCGTGTCCCCCCCTCCCTATGCCCCCCGTGTGTCCCCCAGTGCCTGTCCGTGTTTCCCTCCGTGTGTCTCCTCGTGTCTTTGTAGTTAACATCTCACCATGGTGCCTAGGAGATGTTAACTACCTCGCCCGGTGTACATCAGGTTGTGGGTTCGATCCCGATCCTGACGCCTGCTGTATATTTGGAGTTTGCGTCTCTCTCCGTGGTGTTGATTTTTCTCCGGGTCCTCCGGTTTTCCCCCTCGACATTTAGAATGAACATCACGAGTGTTTGGCTGCCGCTATACATTTCCACGTGATGATGATATCAGACACTTTTTTGAGCTTCTGACAAAGAGCTACACAACTCAGTGGTAAAATAAAATAAAAATGGTTTAGTTTTAATATTGCTCCCCTCCACGTGTCCACCCCGCGTGTCTCCAGGCTGTGACTCTACACACGGATCTGGGGGATCTGAAGCTGGAGCTGTTCTGTGAGCAGGCGCCACGTGCGTGCGAGGTACGGGGTGACTCGGGGTGTACATAGCGTGTGCATGGCGTCTACACAGCGTGTCTCCAGTTCGCCGTCTCCCCTCGTGTCTCCATTGCGCTGTCTCCCCCCCCCACTCCGTGAGCAGAACTTCTTGGCGTTGTGTGCGAGCGACTACTACAATGGCTGCATCTTCCACCGCAACATCAAGGGCTTCATGGTGCAGACCGGAGACCCCACAGGTTCAGTCTGTTTTCTTGTCACGCCGTTTAGGCTTTTTACAACATGAATTGGATATAACGCGATGAATATATATTAAGGAACACGTTTTTTGCATATAACGCGGATGTGAATTGGATGTATTTAACGTATTTTTTTAATATTACTCATTTTTAAAGGAACATTTACAATATTAAGGGAGGAAACAAGGTTGTTCCAAAACGCCGGTGCTGCATCGGCAAAGGATTTGTTTTTACCTACTCTAATTCTCGTTCTTGGGATAGTTGAAAGGCAATCAGATGGACGCCTTGGCTTTGACAATGGGGTTAATGAATTGACTAAGTATAGTGCAGAGTAACCAATACGGATTTTATGGATGAACAAGCCCCAATGTGGATGTCTTCTTGCATCAAGTGGCGTGAGATTGGATTTTAAGTTGAGGTGGCAATGGTGGATCCTGTACGGTACATCCAGTGCGATGTCCGTTTCGGTGGGCGCATGGTGACACGATGGCGTGAGCGTGCTTGGGGCAAATGCCGAGGGGGTGAAAGATCAAACGTCTAATGAGGAGAGCCTGGAGCCTGGGTCTAACTCGTACGCTGCACCTCTGCAGGAACCGGGAAAGGAGGAAACAGCATCTGGGGGCGCAAGTTCGATGATGAATTCAACGAACACCTCAAGGTGACGATGCCGTGTGTTTGTGTGACGACACAGTGTATGATGACGCAGTGCGTGTGATGATGCTGTGTTATAAAGCAATGTGTGTGTGATGATGCTGTGTTATGACGCAGTGTGTGTGATGATGCTGTGTTATGACGCAGTGTGTGTGATGATGCCGTGTGTGATGGCGTAGTGTGTGTGATGATGCGGTGTTATAACGCTGTGTGTGTGATGATGCTGTGTGATGGCGCAGGGTGTGTGTGATGATGCGGTGTTATGACGCAGTGTGTGTGATGATGCTGTGTGTGATGGCGTAGTGTGTGTGATGATGCGGTGTTATGACGCAGTGTGTTTGATGATGCTGTGTGTGATGGCGTAGTGTGTGTGATGATGCGGTGTTATAACGCTGTGTGTGTGATGATGCTGTGTGATGGTGCAGGGTGTGTGTGATGATGCTGTGTTATGACGCAGTGTGTGTGATGGCACTGTGAGCACGAAGTGCGTGCGATGATGCTATGTGATGACGCAGTGTGTAATGACGTCTGTGTGTGTGTAATGACGTCTGTGTGTGTGTGTGATGACGCCGTGCGTGCGTGGGGGCAGCACAACGTGCGGGGCGTGGTGACGATGGCCAACAGTGGCCCCAACACCAATTCCAGTCAGTTCTTCATCACCTACGCCAAGCAGCCGCACCTCGACATGAAGTACACCATCTTCGGCAAGTGAGTGTCACCGCATCGACACTCCACCACGGCCGCTGCGATTTTGCCAGGCTAGGTGCACTTGGAAGCGTGTCGAAGGCTTTCCCCGGCATGGATGTGTGTGTCTCTGTATTTGTGGGGAGCGGTTAGCGCGCTGCGCTACGAGCCCAGCCCACCCGAGTTCGATGCCCGCTCACGGCCAACACCGGTGATGATTATCTGAAATGTCATGGGCCTCCCCTTGGTCGACTGGGCCTCAAATGAGTACCTGGTGCGGTGTGTAAACATCACCACTGGGAAGACAAAGGCGGCTGAGCGTGATGCTGCCCACCCACCCCCTCGTGTACCATGCTGGCCTTCATAGGTGCTACTCGCTAACAGCACTTGCCCCAACATTCTGGTCAGGGTATACGGGGGGGGGGGGTCTTTGTCTTTTTTGTCTCTGTGTTAGTGTGTATGTGTACGTATATCTTGTGCACCTCCATGTTTCTCTGTCTTTGTGTGTGTATCTGCATCTTGAGTGTCTATTTCTCTCTTTGTCTTGGTTGTGTGTGTACGTGTCTCTGTCCGTGATGGTCTGGAGACTGGACGAGTTGGTGTCTCTGTGTCTCCCATGTCCCCCACGGCCCCCACGTCCCCCACGGCCCCCATGTCCCTGTGTCTCCATGTGTCTCCATGTGTCCATGTCCCCTTGTTCCCCTGTCCCCCGAAGGGTGATAGACGGTCTGGACACTTTGGACGAGCTGGAGAAGATCTCTGTCCATGAGAAGACATTTCGGCCGCTCACAGACGTCCGGCTCAAAAGCGTGCGCATCCACGCCAACCCCCTCGCTCCGTGACCGCCGTGTCACAACCGCCTCGCAACCACCACCACCGCCACCACCGCCACCACCACCGCCACCACCACCGCCACCACCACCGCATCCACTCCAACCCCCTCGCTCCGTCACTCCGTGCTGGTTGACGAGCAATAAAGATCATGACACGCAATCAGGAGGGGATGGGTTTGAATCCCTGGGCAAGGTTAACTCTGCTAGGTATCATCATCAGCAGCAGGAAATATCAGCAGCGGTATCATCAGAAGCAATATCATCATCAGCAGCAGCAGCTGCAATCTTGTATCTTCATTGAAAGTAAATATCTCACCCAGTGTCTCAATGTAACCCACAGCGTGATTGTTCAATGTAAATAAATTCCAATTTTCACTCAAAACGTGGAACTCATCTTATTACGCCGCAAGAGGGGGTAATTGAACCACTGCTGGTGAAAATACATTTTGGGATGAGAGGACTTGGAGCTCAGTAGCACGGTGTGTATCGTCAACCCCCCGTCCCCTGTGACTGACAGGTGTGGGAAGGCCTTCATCCAGCAGTGGATTGACGAAAGGGATGTAAATAATGCCGGTAAAAGCTCTGCTGTCCGTCATCCATGGGGAATGGAGGGTGTCTGGGAATCAAATTTGCCGGTTATCTGAGAGTTATTCTGAGGTTCACCAACTTTTACAAGCACCTAAAACGTTGCAAGAAAGAAACTTCAGCCTACATTTTAACGATGTGAGAAATAATCTTTTACAGAGGTACTCACCAGTCAGTTGTAGAACATTATAAGTTGATTGTAGAGAAGCGGTAAAACCGTTTAGAGTATCCTGCGGTGGCGAGATGTTAAATACCTTGCCTGGTATGTACCATGTCGTCGGTTCGATCCTGACCCTGGTTCCTGTCTATTTGGAGTTTGCATGTTCTCCACGTGGTCGTGTGGATTTTTCTACGGGTCCTCCGTTTTTTTCCTCCACATTTCGAAACATGCTTTTATTTGGCTGATATCAATTTCCATGTGATGACAAGCCACTTTGTTCAGCTATCATTTGTGGCCGGGTCGCTTCTTAAAAAGAGCTACACATCTCAATAGCCCTTTCCTGTTCAATAAAAATAGTTTAGTTTTAGTACAGTACTGTATGTACAGACTGCCGCTAGTGCCACCTGAAGCTCTCGTTCACAGCGGATCTACGAAAAGCACACGGCAAGATGCTGGATGGCTGTCGGAACTTGTCCGGATACGGTGAAGGAAGATTTTGTGTTGCTGTTTATGGATTTGGAGGGGTGTCAATGGGCTGCGGGGCGTCCTGGGATCCCCCAGGGCCCCGCCCCTCGGTTGGGAGGTGTATAAAAGGCGGACCTCTCTACAGGCTCGGGACCAGTTGAAGACAGAAGCCGAAGAGCAGCGAGATAGAACCCTGAGACCCCTAGCCCCACTGCCCTTGTCAGGGCCGGGACGCTGTGCGGCTCAGTGGTGAGACCCTGGGAACCTCTGGCCCGACGTCCTTGTGAGGGCCGGGTCCAGTGGGTCTGGTCGGAACTTGCACCCTGGCTCGGGCGAGCTAGAATCGCCTCCCCATAAGCACCCGTAGCCGGAGGACCCCATCCTGTGTTAGGGCACGTTAGCCCGGAGGCAGTACCTCCCCAGACAGCGGTGTAGGAGGACCCTGAGTGTAGTCCTGTGTCAGGGTGAGTCAGTCCTGAGGCAGTACCTCCCCAGACAGCAGTGTAGGAGGACCCTGAGTCTAGTCCTGTGTCAGGGTGAGTCAGCCCGGAGGCAGTACCTCACCAGACAGTGGTGTAGGAGGACCCTGAGTCTCGTCCTGTGTCAGGGTGAGTCAGCCCTGAGGCAGTACCTCCCCAGACAGCGGTGTAGGAGGACCCTGAGTGTGGTCCTGTGTCAGGGTGAGTCAGTCCTGAAGCAGTGGCTCACCCAGACAGCGGTGTAGGAGGACCCTGAGTCTAGTTCTGTGTCAGGGTGAGTCAGTCCTGAGGCAGTACCTCCCCAGACAGTGGTGTAGGAGGACCCTGAGTCAAGTTCTGTGTCAGGGTGAGTCAGTACCTCCCCAGACAGTGGTGTAGGAGGACCCTGAGTCTAGTTCTGTGTCAGGGTGAGTCAGCCCTGACACAGTGGCACACCAGACAGTGGTGTAGGAGGACCCTGAGTCTAGTTCTGTGTCAGGGTGAGTCAGCCCTGACACAGTGGCACACCAGACAGTGGTGTAGGAGGACCCTGAGTCTAGTTCTGTGTCAGGGTGAGTCAGCCTAGAGGCCTCCCCAGACAGTGGTGTAGGAGGACCCTGAGTGTTGTTCTGTGTCAGGGTGAGTCAGCCCTGAGGCAGTACCTCACCAGACAGTGGTGTAGGAGGACCCTGAGTCTAGTTCTGTGTCAGGGTGAGTCAGCCCAGAGGCAGTGCCTCCCCAGACAGTGGTGTAGGAGGACCGTAGCCCTGAGTGTTCTGGGACTGTACTGCCGGGCGTGGTGTTAATAAATAGTGTTGCCTCCAAGAACCGTCTCCGACGTCTCCCGAATCCACAACACGACAGATTGATGCCGGTTAATTGAGCATTCCAGATGGTAAAGTGCCGGAGAACAGACCTTTTGCCGTATTACGTTGCTGTGTGTGAGAGTGCGTGTCAATGTGTGGGTAGCGGTGGCGGAGAGCCATGCAGCGCTGCATGAATGAGTGGTGGTCGTGGATTGCTGAGGAGATGGAATCTGCCTCGGTCGCCCACGATCACAAATCACTTTAATTCCACCAAAAAAGTAACTTGCAACGACACGCCTATTGCCATACTTAGGGGAAATATAAAATGGTCCTATCTCTGACCCCCAGGAACAGGTTTGCAGGTTTTCAGAGCATATCTGTGAGATCTTGGGGGAGGGGAAATCCCTCAGCCCAGAAAACATCATGGGACAAAGTGGGGATGACCCTGCTGAGGCTGCTGTGCCTCAAATATTGGAAGTCACCCTCTTCTTGGTTCTTTCGGTAAAGTCACGTAGGTATAAAATAAATCACGACGTTTCGGGCGCAACACAAGCGTCCATCATATGTGTTGCGCCCGAACCAAAGAGTATGGATCCCTGCAGTCACGAAAGCTTCAAAATCAAGAAAGAGAAGTATTATTGATCCGGAGTCTAAGACTAGGAAAGATACCGAGCAGAGATGATCTCCCAAGCCAAATGTTGAGGGAGGGTGGCGTTTGTGCACAGACTGCCCTACATGACATCATAACAACAGTCTGGACCACTGGACGGGTTCCGCAGGATTGGAAGGATGCCCTGGTGGTCCCCCTCTTTAAGAAGGGGGACTGCACAAACTAACAACTACAGGGGCATCTCACTCCTCAGTGTGCCGGGAAAGGTCCTGGCAAGGATTGTTCAACATCGCCTTGCTAGGCACGCTGAGGAGAGGCTTGCGGAGCCCCAATGCGGTTTCAGGAAAGGGCGGTCCTGCACAGATGCCATATTTTCTGTCCGTCTGCTACAGCAGAGGTGTAGGAAATTCCAACAAGACCTACATCTCTGCTTTATTGACCCGGTCAAGGCCTATGATACCATCAGTAGGTCTGGGCTCTGGGTTGTTATTTGTGCTTTCGGAGTCACTTACCCTCTGCTCACGATCATTAAGGACCTTCATGATGGTGGTCACGCCCGGGTACTTGGTCGGGAGTTGGAGACAATTAAAAATAGGTTTTACACTAGATTTGAAGCTTTCGTGACTGCAGGAATCCATACTCTTCGGTTCTTTCGATAAAGTCACGTAGGTATAAAATAAAATAAATCACGTTTCGATTGCAACACAAGCAATCATCATCAGGTGGGAAAACCACAACTGTGGAATCCCTGTAGTCACGAAAGTTGAATCGAAATTTAATCTTTTGTTGTAGTTTGTGCCTCTTGTTTTCTTACCATTTTATGATTTGTCTGTTTACCCCACCCCACCTTTTGACCTTTGACTGGCTGCTTTCGATCATCATGTTTTTGTTTGCACGCCCCCCCCCTCTGCCTTCGTGGTGTTGCTATCTCAAGGGTAGACACCTTCCCTTCATGCGTATTTTATTGCTACCATGTGTTGTGTCAAATTGTTGGAAGACAAAGGTGGACGGGAGGCTCTGATTCCATGGAATACATATTATCTGGTCTTAAATTTCGATTTATCTGGTCTTGTGTGTTTGACCTATTTTCCTTGCATCTCTTTTGAGCTACCCTAGGTCTAATACCTCATCATTATTAATTGGTTTATGTTTAACCAAGATTCGTGATGTATCATAATTTTTACCACAGGGTATTCTGAGGGTTTTGCTAAGCTTTGTTCTCAGTCTGTGTCGCCAGGGATCGGTGCTTTATTCTAGAGTTATATTTCGATATCCTGAGGTTGGAGATAGAAGTCTTGAGTTAAGCTTTCGTGATTGCCGGAATTCATATTCCTTGGTTCTTTTGGTAAAGTCACGTACATAGAAAGATTCAATAATAAACAATATAAGAGGTGAATAAGGGTGAAATAAAATATGTAATAATAAAAGCCACTAATGTAGACTGCAGTCTATAATGTCGATTTATTCTTGTCGCTAAGTTTCGAACTTTCACCGTTAAAGAAAACTCCAGTTGTAATGTCCGTTTTCCCCTGCTCTGTGTCAGGAGCAGTGGCGGCTCCTGCAAAATCTCTCAGGGGGGGCAAATGTCTGGATGATTGATAAGGATAAGGTCCACCCATGCAATGGATAAATTAACAGCTTAAGCATGTAAAGGCAACTTCACTTCTTTAATATTAATGAAAAATAAAGTGACTCTTACAATACATCTTGTGTGTTTCTATACTCACTATTAAAACAAACCACTCAAGTTTATTTTATTAAAGATTCCACTAGGTGGCGATAAATTATATTGTTGGATGAAACGTGCTTACGTATGATGACGTTAGCACGTATGATGACGTAAGCACGTTAGTGCATGCCCTCCCGGAAGCCATAGAGAATGCTTTGGAGCGCCCGCCGTTCGAAAAAAAACATCTTTGAATGTAAGTCTATGGGGCCACTCGGGGCGATTCTCAGCCGGAGTGAAATCGCCTAAAAAGAGGCGGTACTCCACAGAACGTGACATGACGCTGATTGGACTATATCCAGAGGCTGACAGTGACGGCTAGCGTGACTCTGTGGTTGAATGACATTGGTGGTGCGTCGCCCTAATGAAGAAACCGCCCCTGGTCAGGAGATGTTTGTGAAACTGTCCAAAACGTCCGTGGAGGTGTGACCGATGGTCCCCCGTTCCGTGGAGATTTCCCAGATCGTCGTTAACATCCCTTTGCCCCCGAGTTTATTATTTAATGGCTCTTCATGGCCTTCTCCCTCGAGTTGCTTTTAATGTGGAAAGGCAGCTGGGTGTGAGGGGTGGGGTGTGCCTCACCCTTTCATGCCCCATGTTCACCCCAATCGACTATTATAAAAAATATATATATTGGCAGAATTATTAATATACATTTTTGAAAAGCCTTTATATATACACAACACTTCACAGATGGGATCAGATCACGAATTTATGTACTGTGTTGAATCTAACCTGGATCTTGTGTTTGTTCATGATTTTGGAAATCTTTTTGGTGACCCCTGCTATGTATGGCAAGGTGATGGTTTTGATTGGGTCCTCAGATGATAGCTTTACGGATTGTGTGGTCCGAATATCCATTAATATTGAGGGCTTTGTGTACGTGCTCCAGTTCACTGGCTAGGTGGTGATGTTCGGAAATATAACGAGCTCTATGGTGTAGAGTTTTGATGAGGGGATTCTTCTGGGCTGGATGGTGGTAGGATGTTAACTTGTGTTCGCCGACTCTCTGTGTTGTATTGCATTATATTTCTAAGTTTGCTATGTTTGTTTTCTCATTCATTCGTACCTGATGATGGTTGCTTGTGTTGTAATCAAAACGTCGCCTTCTATTATTATTTAATTTATTTTCTTTCTCCGTGACTTTACCGAAATAACCACAGAGATACTCAGAGTCTATCAGCGCAGAACCCAACACTTAGCAACTCAGTGCCTTCGCCTCTGCAAGACTCAACACTGTCTGGTTGTTTACGAGCACCACCCCCTGGAGTTTGCCGTTGCAAGACTGACTTGTAAGATTTTGTGCAGTTTTTTTGGATTTGTAGCTCGCGTGGTTAATTACCTAGGCCACATTATGGCCCAACATTCTCCTCTCATCTTTGCACACGTGGTGCATTCAGCGGGTCAGCCTGAGTTAACTCCTGGTTCTGGCTCCGCAGACATCTCGGCGCCTTATGCCATAACCCATGTAAACTTCCCTCCACCGGAAGGTCATCTTGCGATTTGTGTGGTCTGTTTTTAGTGGACCTTTTGATATGGCACACTACAGAGGACATCTCAAGGCTTGTGGATGAAGATTATGTTAATTTCCCCTTAGTGTGGTGCGTGTCTGCAGCCTTGTTTATTGTGAAACAGTTCCCCCCCCCGCCCCCTCTTTAGGTCGGCTCATCCTTAAAATGAATTCCTGCTGCGGCATGCAATGACAGCCACTGGGACGACAAATACGGTTGGGCAGGCTCCAGTTATACCCCTGGAATACTGACAGGCGGCTTGCAAGGAGGAAGCCTCCGGCCCACTACGTGGCCGCTGGCGTTCTGGAGGCGCGAGACGTGGTCCCGCTCTCTGACTCCACAAACTGACCACGCGCTCTCTTCCGCTTTCCCTTATATCACCTGGCCTACGTCACCAAGCCCCGCCTACAGCCACGCCCCCTCACGATCCTTCTAGAAGGTTACTCCCCAGAGCCGTTAAGCTCTGCCCATAACTTCGGCTCATCCCTTAGATTGGGTGATGGCCCAGGCGGCGGAGCCTATCCCACTGATCGGCGATCGGCGGTGAACTCTCGTATTACACATGTAAGAGACAATTTGCTGTGAGGTTTGGTCCACATGGTGCTCGCAATAGATACCACTGGGCCTGTGACATCACTATTTCCTGTGCACTTGCCTGGACTGTTTAGAGCCACAGGTAGGCGGAGCTATGATGACGTCATTGACACACAGTTTATGATGTCATAAACGCTTCACTGGCGGCAGCCAATCAGGTGGGGACACAGCTAGAAACACCTGTTACATCTCTACACGACTTCAAAGACCGCCACAAAGCATGTACAAACAAAAGGCGTCACCAGCTTAGGTAACGGAGAAGTCCAAAAATTAGCGACCAGAATAAGTGGGCATCATCGACTGCCAATACACTCACCCAGATTAAAAACCAGACTGCAGTCACATTGTTGGCCTTGATTTATTAATTACCTTATTTTACTCTCATTCACCTCACATAGTGTTTATTGTTGTATCTTGCTATCGACGTGACTTTACCAAACACCAAGGAATATGAATTCCAGCAGTCAAGAAAGCTTATGTGGAAACTTAGTTAGATCTCTAACCTCAGGACATCAAAATATAACTCGAGTATAACAGCACAAATCCCTGGATACAGACAGACAACAAAAGTTAATAAAACCCTAGGAATATATGTGGTAATAACAATGCTAAATCACAAATCTGGGATAAACATAAACCGAATAATAATTATGAAGTATTAGACCAAGGGTCATCCAAAAGAATAAAAGTCAATCATGCGTGACCAAGATAAAATGTATTCCACAGAGAAAGCCTCCCAGCCGCCTTTGTCTTCCAGAAGCATGTGGTAGCAATACAATCACAAAGGGAGAGACTGCAACAACCCCTTTGTGAGAGGCACAATAATGTCACACTCACCGGGAGAGAAGAGGTGGGGGAATGGCACTCACAGGGAGAACCCCACCCCTCCAGAGAGTTTATTGCAAAATAATAATTGGGGTGTAGCAATTTGGGGCATCTGTTTTCCACGGATGAAAAGTTGGCTTGAGGAGGGGGACAGCAATCAGGCCAGGGTGAGACTTAACAGATGGCTTAATGAATCAGAACACACACACACACGGACACACGTACAACTTCCCCCACAGCAAAGGGCAAAATCAAAGGAAGTTCCGGTCCTTTGTGGGAAGGCTAGCCGAGGGGAGAGAATTCCACATAACAACAGAGACGCGACACACACAATTGGGTGCTGCGATCGGCAGGCTCCGGGAACCTGCTCCCGTGACTGGCACATCGTCAACAAGCTGCATCAGCAGAAGCCACGAGACTACGACAAGCGACAGAGAGTACTGCGACGGGCAGACTCCGGGGCATGGCCTCGAGATCAACAATGGGCGTGGTGTCGCGCAGAGAAGAGGGGCGAGGTGATGCTCGGTGCTGAGTTCGGCAGGGACCGACAGACTATCGCTAAAAACCTTATTCTACATTTATCCTAATTTTCGATTTAAAGCTTTCGTGACTGCAGGGATTAATCTTCTTGGTTCTTTCGGTAAAGTCACGTAGAAGGGAAGTAATAAATAATAAAAATAAAACATAATAAAATAATTCTCACGACGTTTCGGCCACAACGCAAGCAGCCGTCCTCAGGTGAAAACCAGGTCTGTCGGGGAGACAGCGTCTGAATGACTGAATGACGCTGTCGCCTCGACAGACCTGGTTTTCACCTGAGGACGGCTGCTTGCGTTGTGGCCGAAACGTCGTGAGAATTATTTTATTATGTTTTATTATTTTTATTATTTTATTACTTCCCTTCTACGTGACTTTACCGAAAGAACCAAGAAGATGAATCCCTGCAGTCACGAAAGCTTTAAATCTAAATTTAAAGGGAAGGAATGTTAATAGTATGTAGCTGCAGTAACTAAAACCACCACGTAAACAACTAAGGTATAAACTACATAGTATCATCAGTATACTAAATATACTCTAAAATAAGCTGAGTTACTAACAGTAAGTAATACATTACAATTCTACGTTGTAAAAAATATAATATGCTTCCATCTAAACTTTATTCTCTTACATCACACCGTACTATATTAAATTATATATACTGTATTGCTATAAACCACCTTATACATTGCAATATTACACTATGTATTATTCTACCCACCCTAATGTATATCACACTGCTGTATATTCACTATACAATTACGATACTATATATTACTTTGTACATTGTATTAAGTATATAAATGTTATACTATTTGATATTATACACTGTACCATTGACCGTCGTGTGAAAGATACTAAGAGGAAGCAACGAAATATGCCAATGGGTGCGTAGTGGTAGGAAACTTGCAGCGGAGCAAAGAATCCATTCCCTGGGGGGAATACAATGCCAGTGAGTGGAACGCGGTCTGAAAGTCACCGTAAACGTGAACACAATCAGTTAAGATCCGAAATGGTTAATTACGTCCTTCCAATGATTGCTAAGCCAGAATCCATCTTCTCGGTTGAAATGTGTTTGTATATGTGGATCGCCTCTAAGGTAATACCAAACGCATTTACATTAACATCTGCTGCTGTAACTTCTTCTAATGCTAAACGAATTCTGTCTCGAACTAGCTTAGCTCTTATCTCAGAGAAAATCAGATTTACGTGCACCGATCTAGATCAGTTAGACAAGACACTCTACAAATCACACTTATCTTTGAGTGCAAAAGTGTCCACATCGGATTGGGAACATGTAGACAAAATGACTGCCTCTTCAGCTGCCGCTATGTCGACCAAATGTAAGGACAACTTGATTTCCAAATTCAACCGCCTCTCAAATAAGAGACCGGACCCACACACTGAAAAGCTAGACCGTTAACAAAGTCGTAATTAATCGCAGTAACAATTATAATTCTGATGGTCTGAAATCCGTT